CACGTATCTGATGTTGGCTTTGATTTTTCATTTGACAGCTACAAAATTCTATCGTTTAAAGATAATCGTTTGCCTCATATTACCTAACGAGTTGAGAATCATAAATTTGTAAAATCATAAAATAACACTGATGGTGCGTTTAGTGATGATTCTTTAGACCATTCGACTTGCTGATCTTTCGCATCAGTTCGTGTAAACCGTTCGCTGAATTATTTGTGCTTATTAGCACTCGAATATTTTTTCAAAATATCCGATTGAAACTCTATCAATTTTTCCGTTGAAATCACGTCTTTGATGACTCAAAAGTTCTAATTACATAATTCGCAGCTGTCGTAGTTACAAAATTTATCGGTCACTGAAATTTCAAGATGAAGTCAATCTGCATAAGCCGCTGGTAATGCTCTAAATATCACACATTCACAAAATTTACTGATAATGAGATAATCATTCAGTTATTTCAATTCTCAAAACTAGTTCGTTATTTTGAATCAGATAAATTTTCATGGTGATTCAGTAGTGCTTTTAGAGATGTGCTCGGTGAGCGAGCGATATCTTCGTACAAATCTCGACGTTTTGAGCCTATTGCCTTCCTAATTGTTTCCGTTCGGTAACGCAGTTTGTCTCACGATCAGTATCTCATCGAAAAACTCGATGCTGTCTTTCTACTTCTCCTTTTCAAGCCAGAAACAATTATTTCAATACGGCCAATAGCGTATTGAATCACATTCGTTCCAAATGATAGCTGTCTGTTACATATTAATGCTAAATCAGATTTTTGTTTTGACTGAAGTTGAGCATATCGGATAGTATGAATTAACTGGATGGAATCGTTGTGATTCGAACATTCGATTTTCAGTCTCGACGATTGTGTAAGTGTAACTATCAGTTGGCTGCCGAGAAGGAGGCACTTATCGAACGCAAAAAGCGTCGAATTATGGCCGCAATCGGGAACTGTGAATCGGCTCGAATGCACCCTAAAAGGCACGAATCGGGGTGAGTTTTGGGAAGCAGTTGAGTTGAAATTCGAGTGCAGTGGAAATTTTTCTTTGCAATGAATCAAAATCAATTCAGATACTCGGATCTTGTTGACGCTTGAATCCAATGAATTAGCAATGCACATATCAGTGCAAGAAATGAATCTGTCCAGTTTCATGTCCTAAACGCTTCGATAAATTTCAAAATTATTTACGCCTGAAATAGTCATCAGTTTTTGATAGTGAATTTCATTTGGAGATGTTTTAAAATTTGGAAATTTGATTTAGTTGGATGAACGGTACGGTGAATCGCATTTCAACAACTTGCGGTGCTCCAAGCCGAGCACGAGTCGGTATTTCACACCTTTCCGTACCGCTCGCTTGGAATAGCGCTGAACATTTTGGTAGCAGAGGAGGTTATTTATCGAACGGTTCATCTCATATTTTCATTTTTGCATGATTCAAGAAATTCATAACCTTTCAAACTTGCATGGTGATCTATCATGTTTTAAGGGCAGCAAGCAATTTGATGTTCAAATGAATAACTAATCTTGAATCAAATAGTTTTTTGCTGTTCAGTTTCATTCACACCACTCACTGATATTTGTGATGAGA